GTGCTAGCCTCCTTTTTGTGGTGAAAAAATATATATAATAATGTAGTTATTGTTCTCGCCGTCCCTTGTAGCTTAAATAGTAAATGAACACTGGGGTCCCTCGCGCGAGAAAGAAAATTTTTCGTTAATCTTCAATCCGGAAGTTGAATCTTCAATTTCATGTGTTGATTGTCTTTGAATTGCGTGCTAGCCTCCTTTTTGTGGTGAAAAAATATATATAATAATGTAGTTATTGTTCTCGCCGTCCCTTGTAGCTTAAATAGTAAATGAACACTGGGGTCCCTCGTGCGAGAAAGAAAATGCATGTGTGAGCCCGCCATTATAAAAATCTTTCTTTTGTTGCACTTTAGTTCCTCAAACTTGTTCTTTATTCAATTTAGCTCATTTTTTTTATATCTTCTAGGTCCTTCATCTTCCAATTCCATTTAATTGGCTCCACATCTTCTTCAATAATCGATATTAGGTCCGAATCAACTAGTAACACTTTACAATTTAGTCCCAAAATTTGGATTCAGTCTGTTTTGGCCTTTTTTGGATACTTTTTTTTCCAACTTTCATCGTTTTTTATCGAGATGTACCTATTGAACGAAATATATACAAAATTAAGTCTAAATTCTTTTAATATAGCAATAATTGCTCTAGTTTGACGACTGAGATATCAAATACCCACAAATTTAAACAATTGTTTGTCTTTAAACAAAATAAGCTTAACTAAACAAAATTTTCACAAACAGTTTGGTTGGATAACCTACTTTTAACATCAAGATTGGACTTTCAAAGTTGAAATTATAAAGTATTTCAAAATCAAAATATCAAATTAATCTCTACCTATTTGAAAGCCCAAGAATGACTAACCAAGAAGGGTGTGAATTGATTTTTTAAAACTTTTTCAAAAGTTAATTCTAGATATAAACCAATATGATAGCAAATGTGTCAATTAAACAAATAGGCACGAATAAGAAAGCAAGTAAAGACTAAATCGATAAATTCAAATAATGAACGCAAGTATAAAAGCGATAATTAAAAAGGAAAGAGAATGTAAACGATATAATTGTGGAGGTTTGATCCAAAACAATGATCTACGTCCTCCGTTACCAAGCTATCTGGCACGAGCAATGTCTTTTCACTATGTTGATTGACTTATGGTGCAATCCAACCCTTTACAACGCTTCCGGTGACTTATAAATAAGGAACACCGATCCTTTACAAAGTTGAGCTTTAGGGGACCTCAACACGACCCACACTATTGAGCTTTACAGGACCGCAATATGACCCACAGGGTGACTTACAACAAGGAGCACCAATCTTTACACAATGTTGAACTTTTCGGGATCTCAACATGACCCACACTTTATCAAAGTGATTTTACAATCAAACCATCTCTTGATAAATAATACAAACCAAATTAAATACTAAGAGAGGCTAACACTTCAATGAATAGTAACAAATGATAGCTCAAGTGTTAGATGAAAATTTTTGGTGAAAATGACAATTAAAAATTAAGTTCAACCAATCAAAGTATTTCAATGAGAAGATGAAGAATAATTAAATGCAATGTAACTTCAAATAATATTCTTAAGAAATATCTCTTTTTTAATGAATGATTATAATAAAACAAGTACTAAGAGAGAAATAAGAAACTTTGATAAATATGATAATTTTACAAATTTGATTCAATCAATCAAAGTTTTCAATATGAAGAAGTTGAAAAGTTTCTGCAATATAAGTGCTAAGAACTTCTTCAAGAATATATCCCTCTTTGAAAATTGATATAAATAAGTTGAGCACAATGATATATGAAAAACTTTGATGAGGAAATGATTCAAGAAATTTGATTCAACAATCAAAGTTTTTCAACATGAAGAAGTGGAAAGATATATGCAATGTAAGTGCAAATACATTCTTCAAGAATATACCACTCTTTTAAAAATGATATAAATAAGTTAAACACAAAGAAAGATGGAAAACTTTGATGAGAATGATGATTAATGAGTTTGAATCAATCAAAGTTTTTTTTATATGAAGAAACAAATGAAATAAATGCAAATGAAAGCTCAAAAAATTCTTAAAACAAAAATATCTCACTTTGATTCACTTAGAAATCTTATGAAGAATGGAAAGATTGAGGATATTTATAGAGTTCAAAAATGAGAAATAATCTGTATTTGTAGAAGACTAGTCCGGTCGATTGTCTCTTGTCTGGAAGATCAATATAGCTGTTTGTACAGCAAAAATAGAAGTTAGAACGGTCAAACTTTGGACAGTTAGCTGGTCGACCGCCTCCTACGGCCGGTCGACCGGTCTCTGGGCAGTTGACCGCCTCGACAGTGCGGTGTTTTTACATTTTCACCTCGTTTGTTCCGATTTGAAAGTCTTAAAGTGTATGGACCTTTGGAAAATATTTTTAACTATTTTTTTATGATAAAAAAGTTTTATAAAGTTCAAATATCACTTTTAAAAGTCATTTTTATATTTAATCAAAACGTTGCATTGAAATGATTTTTAGTGCACAAAAATTATTTTTGATGCATGGAAGGATTTTGAGCTTAACTATTCATTGTCAAATATCAAAGTGTTAGTACCTTTATATTTTGCCTAAGAAATCAAGTTTTTGATCTTCCTCCGAAATTTGGCTCTTAAATTCTTGAATGTATGACTTCGATCTTGACATCTTCTATTGATCTTGACATCTTTCTTTAATGCCGTCTCTCATGCTCTTGATCTTTCTTTGTCTCGAATGATTTGATTTGAGTACTTAGTGTTTAATTGATTTTAACATTAAACTATTATCACTCAAATAAATTGTTAGAAACAATACTAATCTTGTTTTTTATGATAAAAACATTGTGAATAAAGTCAACCATAGGTCAACACTATCCAATGCAAAACTGACGCTTGTGTGTAAAGATTCATGTAAAGCATCAGAACATCATAAATTGATTCAATTCTCGACCTTCTTTGGCCAAATATTTCATTTCTTTGCTTCTAAGATACACGCTCCAAAACTTTATTCTTCCACTCTTTCCCAAGGTGTGCTTTGGGGTAGAATTTTAATAAAATACTGATCCTCACCCTTTCTAATTTGGTTCGATTTTATTAATTACAGTTCAACACGTTGACAAATGATGATTCTCTTTATTTTTGATTGCTTCAATTTCTAAGAATCAATTTAGCAAACAATTCATTGTCAAAAGTCTAATTCTCTACAATAGTGCGTGTATATTATTATTATTATTATTATTATTATTATTATTATTATTATTATTATTATTATTATTATTATTATTATTATTTTCTCATCTTTTATGCAAACTCTTCCCCATTAAACTTTGGTAGAACATAAAATGTCATGTTTTTCATCTATTAATGTTGTCATTTTGTGATTAATTGATGTCTAAATATATTGAGTACCCTTATATTTTGATTTAGATTGCAATTGGATGATGATGACATAAATTAGAAGAAAAGAGCGAAAAATAACTAAAGTGAAAGAAATCAAAAGTTGAAGGACTAAAACAGAATGATCCAAAAGTTGAACCAGAAGGTGAAACAAATGAATGAAAGATTTGAAGGTTAATTGATGGAAGACTCAAAGTGTTATAAGAAGGAAAGCAAGAAAAAGAAGCCAAGAAAAGAGAAGATGAAAGTTCAGGGATCAAAGTACATCAATTGAAATATATTATACTGCGCGCCCACTAGCTTAAAGTGGCGCGTGCGCGAGACCTCATTCTTGCATATTGAGGGAAACAACAAAGTGGTGCGCGCGCAATGAAATATATGGCGCACGAGCACGAGTTAAAATTTCTGTGACGGGCAGTTTCCTTATTTTGATGAAATTCTATATGGAAATAATATTTTTGACATCATATATATACCAAAAGATGCCAGAACGAGGGGAACCTCCTTTTCGACCTAAAAATCTTATATTCTACATATTTTTTGGAGGATAGACTTTTCTCTCTTTTTGCTTAAGGATTAATGATGTATTGCTAAACTTCATCTCTTGGTCGAAGGATATTGAAGCTTAGGAATTATTCAAACTGTGAGATCTAAATAAATTTCATTGTTTTCATTCATATTTTATGTATTGAGTATTCTTCTATGCATGATTTTATGGTTGTTGTACTTGAATTCTAAGAGGCCTATTAGATATTCATGTACTTCGATCTATTGCTTGTTTAAAGAACAAATACGTAATTGTTTGATATCTTTGACATTATGAAGCAACTAGAATTTGATTAATCGCTGCTTTAGAGGCTATTAAATTCTAGGAAGGATATTTGACTAGATTAAACATAACCGCTTGTTATTGTGTTGTTTAGTTTCATCGACTTCTCTAGTTTCCCAAGCTATTATTAAATTAAATCTTAAAGTGCTTGTCTTGGGGTTGTTTGATAATAAGGGTTGATTGGATCGCTTGTTTTTCAATTAATTACAACTAAGGAGAAATAGGAAAAATAAATTTCAGCGATGAATGCAAAAATATGAATTGATAATCATTCATAGATCCATGATCAGTTGAAATTCCTACGGTGGATATTGACTTAGACCAATGTCCGTTCTATTGATTTAATCCAATTTATTAAATTACATTGTTTTTAGTTAGAATTGATTTCTTCACAAACAAAACCTCCTGTTATTGTTAACATTGCATAAAATTAGACTAATCACTTTTCGTGATAACGATCCTTACTTCCACTACTGCATACATTTTTTGGAAGTGTAGGTTTTATTATTTTTGGGTGCTTGCGACATCACGCCAAATTTTGGCGCCGTTGCTGGGGAGTGATTTAGTTTATTTTTGTGCTTTTTATTTGTTTTATTATTTTCTGTTTTCAAAAAAAAAAAATCATTTATTTTGTTATTTTGTTTCGTTTAGTTTTTTCTCTTCTTTCTTTTTGATTTCTTGATTGTTTATACCCATAACTCGATCCTCTAACCAAGGTGATTTGTAGTACGATTCATAAATAAAAAGAACTTTGCGCAGGTTGAGGATAGGAATGGCTAGGAATCAAACCTTGAAAGAGCTTGCAGCTCCAAATTTGCATCAACAACCCTTATGCATAACTTTCCCTAATTTAGATGCTAATACTACTTTTGAATTAAAATCCAGACTAATACATCTATTGCCCACCTTTCATGGTCTTGCAGGTGAAGATCCCATAAACATTTGAAGGAATTCCACGTGGTTTGCGGGTAATTGAAGAGCAAATTAAACTGAGAGCCTTTCCATTCTCTCTAGAGGATTCAGCTAAGGACTGGTTCTACTATCTACAATCTAGAAGTGTCACAACATGGGAGGAAATGAAGATGATGTTCTTAGAAAAATATTTTCCAGCTTCAAGGGCAGCAAATATTAAAAAAGAAATTTGTGAAGTGAGGCAGGACAACAGGGAATCTCTACATGAATATTGGGAGCGTTTCAAGAAACTGTGTGCAAGTTGCCCCCATTATCAAATCAGTGAACACTTCTCATCCAATATTTCTATGAATGCCTTCTACCCATGGAACAAAGTATGGTTGATGCTGCAAGTGGAGGAGTGTTGGTGGATGAAACTCCTGAGGGCGCGAGGAATTTGATTGCAAACATGGCAGCCAACTCTCAACAATTTGACACTAGACTCGACGCTCCTTGTAGACATGTTAATGAGGTAAATGTTTTATCTCTTGAATAACAACTTGTGAGTCTAACTTATCTTGTTCGTCAGATGGCTGTAGGTAATATGCAAACGACGAAGGCATGTGGAATTTGCTCGGTGGCAGGACATCCAACTGGCATGTGCCTAACTCTCCAAAAAGATAAACAAGTTAATACAGTAGGCAGCTTTCCTGGACAACCACAAAGAAATTATAATCCTTACTCGAACATCTACAATCCAGGATGGATGGATCATTCAAATCTTAGCATGGGAATCAACAAGTGAATCAATCAAACTTCCCACAATTCAAGCAGCCATATCCTTCTAGATAATAACAGGACCAAACTTCAAGTTCGGGTATGCCTTTAGAAGATATTCTTAAGTCTCTTGCTACTAACACTTTGTAATTCCAACAGGAAACAAGGAGAAGTATTAAAAGTTTGGAAAATCAAATGGGTCAAATGGCAACCGCAATCAACAGGCTGAAAACACAAGGTTCGGGAAAATTACCCTCTCAAACAATGGTCAATCCAAGGAAAAATGTAAGTGCAATCTTGTTGAGGAGTGGTAAGGAAGTTGAAATTCCAAGGGCAACCCCTATATCGTTGGAGTAGGAAAAGGAGAAAGATGTCCTTTAAGAGAAGAGTATTCCCAACGACAATGGCATACATAAGCATAAGTTTCCACCTCTTTCTGTTTATAAACCGGTACTCCCTTTCCCTCAGGATTTAGTAGGATATAGAAAAGATGAACTTGATCGCAAGCTTTATGATACTTTTGGTAGATGCGAGATACATATTCCACTTATAGATGCTATTAAACAAATACCTCGTTATGCTAAATTTTTGAAATATTTTTGCAATAGTAAGAGGAAACAAAAACTCAAGGGATGTGAAAAGGTAAACATTAGGAAGAATGTCTCTGCAATTATTCAAAGAAAAATCCCCACGAAGTTCACAGACCCAGGTATGTTAACTATTCCTTGTACAATAGGCGACACTAACTTTGAAAAAGCCATGATAGATTCAAGAGCTTCTATTAATGTCATGCCATATTCTATATACGCTTCTTTGAAACTTAGACCTTTAAATAAAATTGGTGTTGTGATCCAACTAGCTGATAAATCTAATGCCTATCCTAAGGGTTTAGTTGAGGATATTCTTTTGTAATGATTTGATTTTTCCCGCTTATTTTTATGTCTTGATATGGGTAATAATGATCAAACTACCCCCATTTTGCTAGGAAGACCATTCTTAAGGACATCCAAAACTAAGATAAATGTTCATGATGACACATTTACTATGGAATTTGATGATAAAATTGCTAAATTCAATATTTATAATTTCATAAAATGCCCTAATGATGATAATTCTGTTTACCCTATTAAAGTGATTGATCATTTAGAACAAAAAATTTTAGAACCTAATGAAAACAATATAGCGAAAGTTGCCATTGATAAGCATATTGAGGAGGTGGATCGGGAGTTACCCTCGAATACTGCCTTACATGAAACCATTGCAGCATTGAATGCTTCTCCAAAGTCAGGTAAAAGTTTGTATAGTGTTTTGTCAGTTTCTAACAAGAGACATTTCTATATAGGTTTCCAAATGGAGGAGGTGAGAACATGAGGCCTTGAAAATTCAATTGATGCCGGTTGAAGAAGGAAGCAATAAATCTAGCCAAAGACAATAGACAAAGGAGCTGCTTAGAAGGTAACCCAAGGGGAGTTCGTTCCATTTTCTTTTTCTTTTTATCTTTTTACATTTATATGTTCGGTTAATGTTATCCTTTTCTTTGCAGTTTGCCTTACATTGGTGACATTGTAAGTTTTAAGTATGGAGGAGAGAATTTAAGTCGAGTCTAAAATTTCCAGTTCGTATTTTTTTGTTTATTTTTGATTTTTTGATAAAACTTCGACATAAGAGGAAGAAAACAAAGTGGTTTTGAACGATTTTAGTTGCGTATGCTCTTTGCTAGATTCAATTAAGTTTCTGAAGAATTCATACCATGATTGAATAAGTAATCTCCCAACTTAGAGTTAATTAGTGTGGTTATTTTCTTTGAAGATGGTAGTAACTATATTTTGTAGACAAAAAATCGGTGAGATTTTGAGCTTTATGACTGAGACATATATATCGGTCTCACTATTTTCTTTCATGAGTGGTTTTCTTTCATGGATTTGCTTCTCTAGAACTTGCCTTGATTCTTTTTGAGGCCATATTGATACATGCATACATGAACATGATTAAGGCCACCTTTGTTACGTAAGTTAACCATCTAAGCCAAATAGCCTACCCCGCAGTTAATTTTATTTGTTGATGAACCCCTTTGAGCCTTATTGCCATACCTTTTGTAAACCCACATTACGAGCCTTAAATCTGGAAAAACATTATTCTTTACCCAAGTCGTAAAGCTAGTGGAGTATTGTTCATTATTTTGAAGTGTGGGCGTGCAAAAGAAATAAGTGTGGAGGTGTATGAATCTATGGTAGGACTACGATTGATGGAATGGAACATATTATTCAATTTCAAGTTCCATTATTAGTGTAATCTTTTAAGTTGAAAAAAAAAGAGGATAAAAAAAGAGAAAAAAAAGAAGTGATGGAGGAAATGATTTTCAATGTTCCATAATTACTCTACATGATTCCTTCTAGTATAACAAGAAAATGATTAGGTTGTGTGAAATAGATGCAAAGAAGCTGTGAGTGGAGATATTTGATCTTACATGTTTTATATATACATTTGAGCTGCGCTAATTCATCTTTACTCCACTACTTTCTATGGCTTTTGAGTTACTCACCCAAACATCTCACACCTAAACCCTAACCCATGTTACAACTTGTGAAAAAGACCTTATGATTTGTGTAATGCATGTAATCTGATTCGTGGAGAATGAGAAGATATACAAGCATATGGTAGATCATGTTCATTGGAATGAACATGAGCGAAACACTTCCCCTTAAACACATGAGAATTGAGTGCTTATATCGCATGAGAGTCTACGTGTTTGGTTTATTCTATCTTTATATGAGAATACTTGCTAATTAATTACAAGTTGTGTGAGATTGTCTGATCATGATGTGTCATGTGTTTTCACGAGTTAGGTTGTTCTATGTTGATGGCATGGCAATCTTAATATTTTGTGAAAGTAAATTTGAATTTTACTAGAGGACGAGCAAAAACTAAGTGTGGGGGAATTTGATAGAACATAAAATGTCATATTTTTCATCCATTAATGTTGACATTTTATGATTAATTGATGCATAAATGTTCTGAGTATCCTTATATTTTGATTTAGGTTGAATTGGATGATGATGGCATAAATTAGATGGGAAGAGCGAAAAATGACTAAAGTGAAAGAAATCAAAAGTTGAAGGACTAAAATGCAATTACTCAAAAGTTGAACCGAAAGGCAAAACAAATGAGTGAAAGATTTGAATGTCAATTGATGGAAGACTCAAAGTGTTATAAGAAGGAAAGCAAGAAAAAAAAGCCAAGAAAAGAGAAGATGAAAGTTTAGGGATCAAAGTGCAACAATTAAAATTATTTTATACTGCGTGCGTGCACAGACTTAAAGTTACGCGAGCATAATGAAATATGTGGCGCGCGCACAATGAAGTATATAGCGCACGAGCATGGGCTAAAATTTCTGTGACGGACCAGTTTCCTTATTTTGATGAAATTCTACATGGAAATAATATTTTTGACATCATAGATATACCTAAAGACGCCAGAACGAGGGGAACCTCCTTTTGAACTAAAAATCTTATATTCTACGTATTTTTTGGAGGCAAAGAACGGACACCATAGACTTTTCTCTCTTTTTGCTTAAGGATTATTGATGTATTGCTAAACTTCATTTCTTGGTCGAAGGATATTGAAGTTTAGGAATTATTCAAAGTGTGAGATCTAAATAAATTTCATTGTTTTCATTTATATTTTATGTATTGAATATTCTTCTATGCGTGATTTTATGGTTGTTGTACTTGAATTCTAAGAGGCCTATTAGATATTGATGTACTTCGATCTATTGCTTGTTTAAAGAACAAATACGTAATTGTTTAATATATTCGACATTATGAAGCAACTAGAATTTGATTAATCGCTGCTTTAGAGGTTATTAAATCGTAGGAAGGATATTTGACTAGATTAAACATAATCGCTTGTGATTGTGTTGTTTAGTTTCATTGATTTCTCTAGTTTTCCATGCTATTATTAAATTAATTCTTAAAGTGCTTGTCTTGGGGTTGTTTGATAATATGGGTTGATTGGATCGCTTGTTTTCCAATTAATTACAACTAAGGAGAAATAGAAAAAATAAATTTCAACGATGAATGCAAAAATATGAATTGATAATCATTCATAGATCCATGATCAGTTGAAATTCCTACAGTGGAATATTGACTTAGACCAAGGTTCGTTCTATTGATTTAATCCAATTTATTAAATTGCATTATTTTTAGTTAGAATTGATTTCATCACAAACAAAGCCCCTCATTATTGTTAACATTACATAAAATTAAACTAATCACTTTTCGTGGGAACGATCCTTACTTCCACAACTGCATACATTATTTGAAAGTGTATGCTTTATTATTTTTGGGTGCTTGCGACAGCACACCAAACTTTCTAAATGATCCATGCATTGAGCTTTTGGTTGATGACTCCCAAGTCAAATGACCATAGGGCACCATGTTTTTAGATACAATTGTAGGCTTAATCACTCGAGTCATAAATGCTACAAAGAGAAGCTTCACAATAAGACAATACATTTTTCTTTTTTTTAATGATTAGTGCAATGCCCCTTATTAAACATTTATTCTCAAAAATCGACCCCCAACTTAAGATTTAACCTAATTTCATCTTATTCATTTTAGACAATCCACACAAAACTTAGCACACATGGAATTCACATTTGTCTCTACGTTTCTATATAATAGTTCAATCACCCTAAAATTGGTTTAAAAATGTATAACATAGTGGATGTTCAGGTTAAGCATCTAAGGTCCATTAATTTCCACGTTCTCTTCAATGTGAATCAAAATTTTCTTCATAATGCAAAACATAAATCTAGTGTTCATAAATATCTGGTTTTACATGACTAAGCATAAATTAACTTAACACATAATTTATCCATAATTTACAACCCAACTCTATGCTCCAATATCTTCATAATTGCTAGTAGATTATCTGACCTACACAAACATGCAACACTACATAAAAAAAGTAATAAAACTGAAAAGTAAACTATTTTTTTTTTCAAACAAGCATGCAACGATTTAAAACAAAAGACTTGATGAAACACCCACCCCAAACTTGATCTAAACATTGTACTCAATGTCTAAAAATAGTATAAGTAATAAACAAAAGGTAAGTACAAATAAGAGAACAAGTACTCCGTTGGTACTAGTCCGTGGGTAGTGGATGGAATGGCATGAGAGCTCTAGAACATGACGAGTCTGACGTGGATGGCGGTGGATGAGTGGATTGAAGGTAAGGTCTTGCATCATAACACAAATTTGATCAATCTGTGTATTTGTTCTTTAATTTTGATTTACATGACCTCCTCCCTAATGTGCATGTCCTCGACCTGTCCTATGTATCTGTATAATCGTTTCCCATGAGGTCATGCTTCCTATGCAAAGTTAAAAGGGATCAAACACAGGGCTGTCCCTGATAATTATGAGGCCCTTAATGTAGAATGTGAGGTTCAATTCCAGCTCAATGCAAAGAAGTCTCCACCAGCTTGTCAAAATGAATGTCTTTAGTTTGAAAAATATCTTTGCCTCTACAAATGGAGAAATGTCAATGGACTCCAAAGTTGCCCCTCAAACCAAAGAATTCACTTTGCTGCATCAGTTTTCCAACTTATACCATTTGTTCTTGTGACATACGTATCTAAGTTGAAGATCTTTTCGAAGCATTGTTTTATAAGTAATTAAAGATTCTAATCACAACTGATAGATGCCTCGACGTTGATAAAACAAAATCCAAAAATTGTTACTTGGAATAAACAGTTCAACAACCTCACCAACCCCAACCTCTACCTCAATCGATATCCATCTAAACTAAAATTGATATATAACTTTAATATAACATTGATAGTGAAATTAATTATTGTAAGCATATGAACATAAATTATTGTAAGCATATGCACATAAATGTACATT